CTCGCAAAATAGGCGGGCTTCTCTCCCGCCGCCTCCAAGCTTCCTGAGCACCCGGACCGTCCGGTCCAGGGGCTCCTGGGCACTGCTTTCGCGGGCAGCCACCACGTCTTGGACTCCGGGCACGAACAGAGGCGCGGGGAAGGGCGCTTACTGTTGGCTTGCGGGGCAGGGGCTGCAGGGGCCCTGGGGAGAGCTGGGACAGAGCGGGTAGGGAATCGGACCCAGGCGGGGTTCCTGGGGGGAAGCGCTGGTGAACTGGGGAGGGCCGCACGGATCTTGGCGCGCCCTCCGTGCAGTGATTCAGGGAGTCGCGGCTTCATGGTCCCAGTCTGCAGAGTCTGGCGACGTGGCTGGGAAAGCTGCCCTACCTGACAGGAGCTGGGGAAAGCCGAGGTGGCAGCGTGTTCTGGGCGTTCCTGGTTCACTCAGAGTCTTTGAGTCTGTGACTTTTGGTGGGAGCTGTGGAAGGAAACAGGGTCGGACTTGATTTCCTACTTCACAGAGAAAGTTGTGCGGCAGGCCACGCAGAGATGACCTGGGATTCTTCCCCCTCTAGTGGAACGCCTGAAGGGCTGTGTAGAGGAGAGGTGTCATCAGCTCCCTTTGCAGGTGGGGACACTTGGTCTCCACAGCTCACCGGGACTCTGTTTTGCAATTTGAACAAAGCTGTTGTTATTTTACCACCAGACGAGGTCAGAGGCCAAGGAGGAGGGGTGGATTAGTGCTGGGGTCATCGCCTGCACAGCACGCAATTCCCACTGGCGCCTGCTTAAGCCAGGACCACTCTGACCTCAGCCTGTGTCCCTGCACACGTCAGCCCTGGGGGCTGCCAAGACCAAGGCAAGGCAGCCCAGCTGCTAGGGGACCTGCCAGCCCAGCCCACTTCACAGAAGGAAAGGGCTTGACCAGTGTGGCCTTGGAGGGCCCGGCAGCTCAGCTGGACTGATAACCCTGCCCAGGCGCCGGGTGAGGGGGTTGGGAGAGGTCAGGTATGTGGCCAGGAGCCCCACCCCCTGCATGGAGGATTTTTTGTTCTGCCTTTGTTTGAGAGCAGTTTTCAGCAGCAACTTGTGATTATTCTGGCTCCCCCGTCCCTGGCTGGGACCTTACACAGTGACTTAGGTGGTGGTGGTGCACTTCCCGGGTAGGCTCTTCGAGGATTAAATGAGATAATTCATGTAATATGCTTAATGCCATGGCTGGCGTCTGTGAGCCCTTGGTCGTGGCATCTCCCCGTCTTTTTTTGGTCTTTTTTTCCTCGTGGCTAGTCCTTTCCTGGGGGAGGGCCTTCCAGGAAGCACAGCACTGGGCTAGGCTGGAAGGAGAGGACGCTTCGGTCCTGGCACTCCCCTCAGATCCGCACTTTGGCCTGTGTGCCCGCAGGATGGCCCTGCCACCCCCAGCACTTACTTCCCCCTTGCACCTCCTGCTGCTGAAGCCTCACTTTGCTGTCCCACCTGAGCTGTTCTAGGGGCTTTGCTTGGCTGGTCCTTGGTGAGGCGAGGTCACTTCCTCACAGGCCTTCCCTGACTCACTGACCCTGCACCCACCACAGCTCTCAGAAAGTACCTGGTTGATTCATTCACCTCCAGTCTGCCCCCCCCCCCCCGGGAAGGAGAAGGGCCTGGTCTCTGTAACCTGGCCTTGTTTGACACATAGTAGGACTTTAGGAGGCCTTTGGAAGATGAAGTCAGGCAGGCACAGAGGCAGGGTGAGGGCTGACTGGGACTGAGGTCCAAGGAAAAGTCCAAAGGGCTAAGCTGCCCCAGAGTCCTGACTCCTGAGACTGTGCCGTGGGTGTCCCTGTCTGTTGAGCAGCATTCTCACATGTGACCCAAGGGGAAGGTTGAGGCAGGGTGCCAGCTCTTATTTTCCAGAGTTCCCAGGTTGGGGCACTGGATGTCTCTTACTAAGCCCAAAGCTGTGCTCCCAGAGTGGGAGGGAGACTGAGTTCCATCAGGACAGGGCCGTGTCAGTGTGTCCCTGGGGTGGGTTCTTTGTGTATTTTACAGCCTGTGGTGGTGGAGATGGGGGTGGTATACACCTTTTCTGCAAAAGGCCAGATAGTAAATATTTTAGACTTTGGAAGCCACATAGACCTGTCACAGGTGGCTGTGTTCCAGTAACATTGTATCGAGAAGGGCCAGCAGTGGGCCAGATTTGGTGTAGGTTATATATAACACCTCCACTGGCCACAGTATCTGCAGCCAGTGACCCTCTCAGGATGTGGCTCCCAGGATGCGGCTCTCACTCTGAGCAACTTCAGCCCCAGCTCAGGTAGTAGGACTGTTGAACCTGGGCACATTCCCCCTTCTAAACTCTCAAAGAAAAGTAAAGGCCTGTCATTTCCCTGGGGGCTGTCCCTTTACAGTCTGCCCTGGAGGCTGCCCCTTACCAGCGGCCCTAGGGGCTGCCCTTTAACCACTGCCCAGAGGCTCCACCCACCTTCATTGTCTTCCTGAGGCAAGTCAAGGGACCCCACTTGAGTGTGTGTGTGTGTGGGTGAGGGGTCTCTGCTCTCTCCTCACCTGTCCAAGTGAGGGAGGTTCACTTTCCTGGTGAGAACAGTAAAACTACCTGCCTTGGGTAAACTACCTGAGTTGCAACTACTTTATTTATAAGAAGAACCTTCAGCCTTCAGGCCATGTCAAACCAGGGTGTGAAGTTATGGTCACAGAGGAAGAATGTACAGACATTATCCCCCACCCCCATGCCCCGCCCCACCTGGTGCCCTCTAGGGGTTCAGAGGAGGGGGGTACAAGGTCCTGGCTGCCCCAGTGGGTGTGTGGGGTCAGCCCAGAACCCAGACCCTTTTCATCACCACCTGATACCCACCACCCTTCCTGGTCCACATTTACCAGCAGTGTCTGGAGAGCAGCTGTCAGGGCCTAGAGGGGGTCTGTAAGTCACGGGCAGGGGCAGAGGGGCATAGGTGTTGAGGGTGGGAGGGTGTCTGCATGCACCGTAGGCTGGCTGGGCTCACTGTGGCTTCGGTGCCTCTGCCTATAGCCCTGACCTCTCTGGGTGCTGCCCCTCAGTCTCACAGGCCACCCACCTGGGTGGCAGCTGCAGGAGGTGGACCTGGGCAAGCTGGCCTTCAGAGTTCGGCAAGCCCCATGGGGCTAGATGGGGACCGCCTGCTTCAACTGCCATATGTGCTAGGTGTTGGTGTGTGGTGCAGTGGGGTGCTTCCATCCAGCTCTGCTGTGACCCGACTGCTGGCACACAGGTATGTTGGGGGACATATGGTCTGCCTTCCTTGTGGCTTCTGGCATCTCCTGAGTGGGCCCAGGCCGTGATCCTGCATGGTGTCCCAGCCAGGCCCAGCTCCATGTCCCACTCTAAGGCCTGTTCCACAGTCTCCAGCCTGCAGAGCCCAGGACTTGATCCCGACACTTGTCCTGTGGTTCTTTTCTTTTTAAGGACCTTAAAATTAGAAAATGAGACACACGCTCCCAATTCTTGGAATTGACTGCTATGAAGGTTTTATCATATTTGCCTCTGCCTATCTCATAACAGAAATAAAAGAGATAAAGGTGAAGGGTTCCCGAGCCCCCGTTCCCAGTCATGACCAGTACTCTCCCCTAAGCCGCCCTCTCCAGAGTCTGGTTTGTATCTATCTTGCCTTTAAAAATTTTTTTTAGCATCTTAAACCATTTTTAACCATACAGTTCAGAAGTGTTAAATATATTCACATTCTTTTTGTTTGTTTGTTTGAGACAGAGTCTCACTCTGTCACCCTGACTAGAGTGCTGTGGTGTCACAGCTCACAGCAACCTCAGACTCTTCTCAACCCATCCCTCTTACCTCAGCCTCCCAAGTAGCTGAGACTACAGACACCCACCACAGAACCTGGCTAGCTTTTAGAAATGGGGTCTTGTTCATACTCAGGCTGGTGTCAAACTCAAGAGCTCAAAGGATCCACCCACCTCAGCCTCCCAGAGTGCTGGGATTACAGGCATAAGCCAGTGCACCCAGCCCTTGTATATTATATCTTGTATCTCTCCTGACTGCAGAAGTCGAAAGTGACTTGAGTATTATAACATTAATATAATTTTTTCCTTTTTAAAAATGTGTATGCATTTTTGGCACCTTCTGTATATCCAGAAGTGAGATGCTGAATAATACAATAATCCTATTTTAATTTTTTATTATTATTATTATTTTTTGTTTATTGAGACAGAGTCTCACTTTGTCACCCTAACCACTGAGCTATAGCTGTAGAGGGCTGTGTCATCCTAGCTCACAGCAACCTCCAACTCTTGGGCTCAAGTGATTCTCTTGCCTCAGGCTCCCGAGTAGCTATGATGACAGGCGCTCATCATAACACTCAGTTTTTGTTGTTGTTGTTTAGCAGGCCCAGGCTGAATTCGAACCCACCAGCCCTGGAGCATGTGGCTGGCACCCTAACCACTGAGTTATGGGCACCCAGCCTAATTTTTTTTTTTTTTAGATAGTCTCATTCTGTTGCCCAGGCTAGAGTGTTGACGTCAGCCCACCTCACAGCAACCTCAAACTCTTGGGCTCAAGCGATCCTCTTGCCTCAGCCTCCTGAGTAGCTGGGAACAGGTGCCCACCACCATGCCCAGCTAATTTTTTTTGTCTATTTTTAGTAGAGATGGGGTCTTGCTCTGGTTCAATCTCATCTGGAACTCCTGAGCTCAAGGGATTTACCTGCCTCAGCTTCCCAGACTGCTGGGATCACAGGCATGAGCCAGCGCACCTGGCATTTATTTATAATTACTTGATTTCTTTTTTTTTTCTTGAGAAAGAGTCTCACTATGTCACCCTCAGTAGAGTGCGATGGTGTCCCAGCTCACAGCAACCTCAAACTCTTGGGGTTAAGCGATTCTCTTGCCTCAGCCTCCCGAGTAACTGGGACTACAGGTGCCCCCACAATGCCCAGCTATTATTTTTTGTTGTAGCTGTCATTGTTGTTTTAGCAGGACCCCAGCCGGGTTTGAACCCACCAACCCTGGGTATGTAGTCAGCACCCTAACCACTGAGCTACAGCTTCTGAGCCTGTTTTTAATTTCTTAGGGAACCTCTGCTCTGCTTTCTGTGGTGGCCACACTAGTCAGCATCCTCCCAGTGTGCAGAAGGTTCTGATTTCTCCACATGCTCACCAATACTTGTTATTTTTTCTGTTTTTTTTTTTTTAATAGTAGGAGGCTCCCTGCCATTTCTTTTTATTCATAGAATTCTCGAACACTTTAAAAGTGTTATGTAGATTTTGCATAAATGTCGTCATCGTCTGTATACTGTCCTATAAGTTGCTTTTTTCCGCTTGGTGTCAGTTGTCTGTCCTCGCTCCATACTGACCTGCGTACTCCATCACACGAGCAGACCTGATTTGGACCCTTTCCCAGCCGTCTCTCAGTTCAGCTGTCTCTGCTGTACTGTAGTCACTGCCCTCTGCGGGACAGAACCCTGATCTTGTCAGATTGTCCATCAGCTGGGGACCCAGTGATCAGTCGTGGCAGGGCGGCTCAGGGCTGTCAGTAATAATCTGCTGGGTCTGCCATTCACAGCCGAGATCAGCAACCTCAAAATAGCAGTTCTTATGTAAGGTGGTGTGGGCTGCCCTTCTCAGGACACCTTGTGATCTAAAGGAGTAAGAGGCGCTTGGCTTCAGGGGCCCAGCTTCCCCTCTTACACAATGCACCAGCCCCCGCTCTGATTCCCACAGGTGGTATAACCCCCAAACTCACAGAAGTGCAGCTTGGTGACCTAGAAACACTGTGGGTGTGACCTGCTCAGCCACAGGGTGTGCTGTGTGTGCCTGAACACATGTGCATGCGGTGGTGGTGATGAGGGTCAGCGCTGACCACGTCCTCTGCCCAGATAAGAGCTGTGTCATGCCTGCTAGGCCATAGAGAACCCAGAAAGGACTGTTCATTCACGAGCCACTTAGGAGGCACGTTCTGTGTGCCCATCTGGCTCTGAGATTTGGGAGTACAGCATTGCACAAGAAAAGGCTCTGTTCCCACGGACCTGAGAATTGAGCAGGTGAGTAGGGGGCTGATAAGTCCTAAGAAGAATAAAAAACAAAATAAGGTGGCATTTTACAGAAAGGGTCAGCAGATTTTTTTTTCTGTAAAGGGCCAGATGGTAAATATTTTAGGCATTGTGGCCATATGGTCTCTGTCACCTGTCCTCAGCTCTGCCATGGCTGTGTGGGAGCAGTCACAGGCAACAGTGTGGCTGTGTCCCAGTCAAACTTGATTCATGAAAACAGGCTGTGGGCTGCATCTGACCCTCAGACTGGAGTTTGCCAACTCCCATCCTGGGTCTCTGGGAGAAGCTGGCTGTGCTGGGTTTGCCAGGGAGAATGTTTCTGAAAGGGCAACGGACACTGACAGCGGCTGTGCGAAGGAGCTGATTGTGGGACAGTCAGTTTCAGGCAGGGCACGGTGGCACGTGGTTGTCAGTACAGTGGCACGGTTGAGTGTTCAGAAGTGGGCAGCCCCAGGCTAGATTTGCTGCTCCTGGGACAGAGATTCTAGGATGCATCAGGATTTGGGGTCTGACTTGCTGTGTGGTTCTGTGGATGCAGAGGACGGGCTGAGGGGCAGGTCAGGGTGCCAGCTGTGGCATCAGGTGTGCCGAGGCTGAGGAGCTTTTGCTTTTGTTCTTTTTAAATTTGGGGTTTTTTTTTTTTTTGAGAAAGACTCTCTGTCACCCTCTGTAGAGTGCGATGGTGTCATAGCTCACAGCAACCTCAAACTCCTAGGCTTAGGTGATCCTCCTGCCTCAGCCTCCCGAGTAGCTGGGACTACAGGAGCCCACCACAACACCCAGCTAGTTTTTCTATTTTTAGTAGAGATGGGCTCTTGCTCTTCCTCAGCCTGGTCTTGAACTCCTGAGCTCAAGTGATCCTCCCAAAGTGCTGGGGTTACAGGCGTGAGTTCCCATGCCCAGCCTGTGGAGCTTTTCAGATGAGCAGGTGATGTCTGTACCTAAAGCCTGATGGAGAGCCCAGGACTGGAGGCTTGAGCCGGGGAGTCAGCAGCATTCAGCTGGTCTTCAAAGCTGTGAGTCTGTGGGCTGAAAGGGAGTGTGTGTGGACAGGGCAGGGGATGGCCTGGCATGAACACCAGCACAGTGGCCTGAGCGGGCCTCACACTCCGTGGGGAAAGGCAGTTCAGTGCAAGCCCGGACACCCCACTAGCCAGCAGAGCTTCAGTCTTGCTCCTGTAGCGCAGTGTTGGGGTGAGGACTGCATGAGAGTTGTGCTTGTTGTGAAGGAAGCAGCCAGCACTTGGCGCCAGTGTCCCCCAGCCCACTGGGGAGCAAGTGGGCTGCAGGGCCTTCGACAGCTTGGTTTGGTGGATGGGGAGTCTGACTGGTTGGGGTCACAGACGCACACTGGCCTGGCACACACTGTCCCAGTACACACATCTGCTGGCCCCAGGTGCCAGGTAGTTAGTGCCCAGAGCAGGAGGAGCTAGGGGGAGCTGGAGGCTGAGTATTCCCGCGTGCCTGGCCCATAGCTGGACACCACTGAGGCCTGCTCTGCCCTGTCTTTTGAGGCTGCCAGGGGGCCTGAGTCCCCGTGGCCCACAGCATCACCCACTGGCTGGCACACTCTGTCATTGCTGGCCCACCCTGTGTGGCTTCCATGGCCCCTTACTGGGGAACCCCCTTCACCTCCCAGTGTAATGCTTTGCCTCAGTTTCTGGGGCAGCCGGTTTCTGTGGCTGGGCAGCAGGGTGAGCTTCCTGGGGCACAATGGGTGACAAGTGGGTTGGTGGCGTGGTGGGTTACAGAGTCAGGGGTGGGCAGCATGGTCCAGAGCCCCAGCCACGCCCTGGCAGCCTCACATTCCCCGTGTGTATCTCGTCCTCCAGCCCAGCTGCCCCGACGATGGTGGACCATTTGGCCAACACGGAGATCAACAGCCAGCGCATCGCGGCAGTGGAGAGCTGCTTCGGGGCGTCGGGTCAGCCACTGGCCCTGCCAGGCCGCGTGCTGCTGGGCGAGGGCGTGCTGACCAAGGAGTGCCGCAAGAAGGCCAAGCCGCGCGTCTTCTTCCTCTTCAATGACATCCTGGTATACGGCAGCATCGTGCTCAGCAAACGCAAGTACCGCGGCCAGCACATCATCCCGCTGGAGGAGGTGACGCTGGAGCCGCTGCCGGAGACCCTGCAGGCCAAGAACCGCTGGATGATCCGGACGCCCAAGAAATCCTTCGTGGTGTCGGCCGCGTCCGCCACGGAGCGCCAGGAGTGGATCAGCCACATCGAGGAGTGTGTGCGGCGGCAGCTGCTGGCCACGGGCCGCCAGCCCACCACGGAGCACGCGGCGCCCTGGATCCCCGACAAGGCCACGGACATCTGCATGCGCTGCACGCAGACGCGGTTCTCCACGCTCACGCGGCGCCACCACTGCCGGAAGTGCGGCTTTGTGGTGTGCGCCGAGTGCTCGCGCGAGCGCTTCCTGCTGCCGCGCCTGTCCCCCAAGCCCCTGCGCGTCTGCAGCCTCTGCTACCGCGACCTGGCCGCCCAGCAGCGCAGGGAGGAGGCGGAGGAGCAGGGCCAGGGGTCCCCAGCACAGCTGGGCCGCCTGGCTGGGGCCGTGTGCGGAGGGGCGTCCAGTGGCGATGATGATGACTCAGAGGAGGACCGGGAAGGTGGTGGGGACGGCGACTGGCCCAGCAGCGTGGAGTTCTATGCCTCTGACGTCTCTTGGTCAGCCTTCCACAGCTGACGCCGCCGGCAGGACTTCTGCATTTGGGGCAGCTGCACTGCCCAGGCCCGGACAAGGGCAGTGCCAAAAACTGCCCCATGGTGGTGGGCACCATGTGGGAAGTGGCTCTTCCCCTCTGGATTCCCCAGTGCCTTTTTGTTGGACATCAGCACCCTTCTAGTCCCACATCGGGTATCTTTCTTTGTGTTTAGCAATTCCCAAAACGCCTAGGCCTCTTGGGGACAGATGCCAGCTTTCAGCCCCTTCATCTGCAGCTGCAGAAAAACCAGGCATTTGGGGATCAGAGGGATTAGGAACACGGAGGGAACACAGCCCCGCCACTTCCTGCCAGGCCTCTGGGGCAGACGGTGCCTTGGAGTGGGGACGCCCATCCTGGTGCACTGCTGTCCCTCCAGGGCCCCACTAGCCTTGGCCAAAGCCCACTGTGGCACAAAGTGGGGTCCCTGTTGTCCAGAAGTGGTGCTCGTGGGGCTGGGAACGTTCTCCTTGGCCCACACAGCACATCTGAAACCCTCCATTCCCAGGGGTAACATCATCCTCTTGGGCCGGTTCTCAGAGTACGAGGCCGGAAGTCAAGGCCTGCCCACCACCTTGCTGGTGCCCACTGCCGCTCCAGGCTTGTGGGATCCCCTCAGCCATGCAGGAGACTGCCATGCTGTGGGTGCCCACCAGGTCTGGGGGACTGCAGCCTGAGCTGCCCTTGGCGCTGGACCGCTGATGAGGAGCTGTCCAGGTGTCCAGGCCTCTTTTTATCTTGTCCTCAGCTTTCCCTGCAGCCAGTGAAACTGGCGTCAGGACTCAGTCGCAGGGACAGAAACCCTAACTTGACTGGCTTAATAATAAAAAGAAAGTTTATTGACTTGTGTGGTCAACAAATTCAGGGGAGTTTCTGTTTCAGATACTGTTGAAACCATGTGGGTTGGCAGAAATCAACCCCAGTCTACCACCCTGGGCGTACCCGGGGATTCTGCAGTCCAGCAGAGACAGATGTCCACACCACACCTTGGAAACAGGTCTGTCTGGGTGCTGTGACTGGCCTGCTGCCCTGCTCACTTCAGCATGGCTTGTCTTAATGAATGGCATAGAAGAACCGAGGGGCCATTCGTCTGTCTCTGCCTGGCCTTCGTGGTTGAAAGCTCTCTCCCACACGTCTCCTGCCAGGCCTGTGGGGTGGGACGGTGCCTTGGAGTGGGGAGACAGACCCTAGTGCACTGGTCTCCCTCCAGTGCCCCACTAGCCTTGGCCTGAGACCACTGTGGCAGAGTGGGGTTGCTGTTGGCCAGAAGTGACTGTGGGGCTGGGAAAGTTCCCCTTGGGCCATGCAGCACCATATCTGGAACTCCACTGGGGCTCTATTCCCTGGAGTGACATCATCCTCTCAGGCTGGTTCTCTGATGTCCACACGCAAACCTGGAGGATCCAGTCAGAGCACTGATGCTGACCTGGAATGTTGGGGCCCAGCTCCCAGGGCTGCTGCTGGTACCACCAGCCTACAGACTGTAGTTGGGCTGGGAGGGCATACTCTTGACCTGTGGGCACCCCTGCGAGGGAGGGCAGGAGTGAAGTCCCTGAAGCACCTGCCAGTGACTCTTCCCCCATGGGCAGAGTGATAGGGGAGGCATTGGGAAGGTCAGAGGTGCTTCCAAGAAGAACCGCTTGTTTACAGGCCCTCCTCTCCCTCGGCCTGCTGAACCTCACAAACTGGTTCAGGCTGGTTCTCCTGTGTGGGCAGAGGGCACAGAGTGAGACAGGTCACTGGGTAGGGGCAGCTTCCTGAAAACAGATCCAGAACCCTCAGAAACCCAGGCCAGGCAGCCCCATCCCTATACTCCAGAACTGATGCCAGGGCATGTGGTATGAGCTCCAGCCACTGGCCTCTAGGTCACAGCCTGCTCCCTTGGCTGGCACCCTCAGGGGCAAAACAGCAACATTCATTTGGACAGGAAAGGAGACAGCCTGGGCACCACCAGCAGCCCCTACAGCTGCGTGAGAAAGGGGTTGAGTAGGCACTGCTCACCCGCGACCTGGAACTCGCCCTGCCCGCTTCTCCCCCATGGCTTGGACACAGCTGCTACTTCCTTGAGCCCCAGTACGTTAGGGCCTGTCAGGATCCAAGGACCCAGGGCGGCCAACAACCCTAGGAGAGCTTCCCTCGTGCACATGCACTCACACTGTGTGCTCCCTGGGAGAGCCCCCCTCGTGCACATGCACTCACACTGTGGGCTCCCTGGCAGAGCCCCCCTCGTGCACATGCACTCACACTGTGGGCTCCCCGGGAGAGCCCCCCTCGTGCACATGCACTCACACTGTGTGCTCCCCGGCAGAGCCCCTCTCGTGCACATGCACTCACACTGTGGGCTCCCCGGCAGAGCCTCCCTCGTGCACATGCACTCACACTGTGTGCTCCCCGGGAGAGCCTCCCTCGTGCACATGCACTCACACTGTGGGCTCCCTGGGAGAGCCTCCCTCGTGCACATGCACTCACACTGTGTGCTCCCTGGGAGAGCCTCCCTTGTGCACATGCACTCACACTGAGTGCTGTGCCAGGTCCTGGAGGCACAACAAGAGTGAGATGAGCAAGGCCTGACTCAGGCTCACACAGCGTGGTGGGGAGACACTTGCACAGAACAGGGCAGGGATACTGTCAGGGGGTCCTGTGATGGTGTAAGGGGTACAGGGATGGAGAAACAGTGATGGAGCAGAGAGTACTGTGAGTGGGATACTGTGACAGTGGGTACTGTGATGGGGCAGGGGTTCTGTGAGGGAGTACTGTGATGGAGCAAGGGTTCTCTGAGGGAGTACTGTGATGGGGCAGGCGTTCTGTGAGGGAGTACTGTGACAGGGCAGCGGTGCTGTGAGGGAGTACTGTGATGGAGCAGGTTCTCTGTGAGGGAGTACTGTGATGGGGCAGGGGTTCTGTGAGGGAGGATTGTGACAGAGCAGGGTTCTGTGAGGGAGGAATGTGATGGAGCAGGGTTTTGTGAGGGAGGACTATGATGGACCAGTTTCTCTGTGAGGGAGTACTGTGATGGGGCAGGGGTTCTGTGAGGGAGTACTGTGATGGAGCAGGGTTCTGTGAGGGAGTACTGTGATGGGGCAGGGGTTCTGTGAGGGAGTACTGTGATGGAGCAGTTTCTCTGTGAGGGAGTACTGTGATGGAGCAGGGGTTCTGTGAGGGAGTACTGTGATGGAGCAGGGGTTCTGTGAGGGAGTACTGTGATGGAGCAGTTTCTCTGTGAGGGAGGACTGTGACGGAGCAGGGGTTCTGTGAGGGAGTACTGTGACGGAGCACGGGTTCTGTGAGGGAGTACTGTGATGGAGCAGGGTTCTGTGAGGGAGTACTGTGATGGAGCAGGGTTCTGTGAGGGAGTACTGTGATGGAGCAGGTTCTCTGTGAGGGAGTACTGTGACGGAGCAGGGGTTCTGTGAGGGAGTACTGTGATGGAGCAGGGTTCTGTGAGGGAGGACTGTGATGGAGCAGGTTCTCTGTGAGGGAGTACTGTGATGGAGCAGGGTTCTGTGAGGGAGTACTGTGACGGAGCAGGGGTTCTGTGAGGGAGTACTGTGATGGAGCAGGGTTCTGTGAGGGAGTACTGTGACGGGGCAGGGGTTCTGTGAGGGAGTACTGTGACGGACCAGTGGTTCTGTGAGGGAGTACTGTGACGGAGCAGGGTTCTGTGAGGGAGTACTGTGATGGAGCAGGGGTTCTGTGAGGGAGTACTGTGA